AAAGTTTATAAGCTACTGAAATAAAGTTATAGTACCTAAGAGCTGAGTCAACTGACAGTGTTAAATGGAACATTTTACAACCAGTCCTGGGATAATGATAAAAAAAAAAAAAAAAAAGATGGAACAAGAAAAAATATCTGACAGAAAATGGGCCCAAGACCAAGTTCAGGTTACATGATTATGTGTGAGCAATCTCTAAAGGAGGCAAGGGGAAAGTGATAATCTAACGTTTATGGAGTGCTTCCTCTGTGTCCAGTTTCTGACATCTATTACCTCTTTTATATCTCATAACAATTCCGTGATGGAGATATCATAGTGATCATCTTAAAAAGGAGAAACTGAGGTAAAGCTGAGCTAGTTATTTGCGAAACAACAAAACTATTAAACAATAGAGGTGAGATCTGACTTAAAAATTGTCTTGACTCCAAAGCTCATGCTCCTTCTGTGTCTTTCCTACCCAATGCTGTCTCTTTACATAGATGTTGTTAATGTGCTGTTGAGTTGGTTCCAACTCATAGAGACCCCTTAATAGGGTTTCTGTGGAACAACTGGTAGATTTGAAACACTAACTTTGTGATTAGCAATCCAGTGCTTATCCTATAGCCCTGTAACAGGACTCCTTTACATAGATAAATGATGTCTGCATAACTAAAACAAGTTTTAGGTCTCATAAAGAATCTCTTGGTCAGACTGCATGCTCGTGTTTGTTCCATGCTATCAATTCAGATGATGATTTGCCATGAAGCTCCCATGTAAATTATTTATCCAAAGAACATAAAATTATAGTTAAATATGTAAAAAATATATATAGCACTGGAATAAAGATCAGCATTAGGAAAATAGTTAAAAGATGATATTTAAGAAAGAATATAGCAGTGTTATCAGGAGTATGAATAGGTGATGTACTAGCATTTCATTTGGCTTTTTTAATAACACACTCACAAAATGGTTTGTGTATAACTGTAAACTGTGATTACTTTTCTACAACCATTCTAATATGATATCCTCCAGCCACCCCATAGCCCTATCCATCAAGTCACAGTGCTTTCTCTTTATGCCCACCTCAGAATCCCTAACAACAGACCCAAGTACACTGGCAAACCCACAGGAATCTGGTGCTGTCTCCTAAAGGGCTTGTATTTGCTATAATTTCACAGTTTCTTAGAAATAGTATGCTTTTGACCTAAAAGATCTTATAAAATCTGTATCCCCCTCCCTTCTCTGACTTGGTTATAAAGATAGTTTCTTCAATTAATTATTATGGACCAAAATTCATGCTCCAAAAATAATTAACGTCATGGTAATTGTGAAGCAGCACATATTTGTGCAAACTTCTGTGACTCCACCTGGTAAAATATAATGAAAAAATGGCATAATGGTATTGACATGCAAAGTACGGATATGAAATGAAAAGGACAGAAATATGGTTGAGATATTAATTCAAAAGAAATAAGAAAATAGGACTGTTTGAACAGGTTTAACATGATGACTTATTTCTTCCTAAAAATAGTTGGTATGTTACCCAACTTTGTTGGGATGTTATCTCACCTTATCTTGAACTATACCCCAACTCCCCTCACTCAGGTACTTCAAATGTCTCTTTCTTGTATACACACATGTTAAAAGGTCTACACAATACTCAATATACAGATAATAGGGGAATATATTACTTATCCAAGTATCAGATAAAGGCCTTGTGTCATATCAATATAGTAATAAACCAAGTGTTTTCTTTGTAATAGGACACAAATGAATAAAATGGGGAAATGGAATTTACAAAATAGCTTTAAACTCAATACCAACTCTCATTTATGGGTCCAAAAGTGTAATGGACACTGCTAATTTTCATGGGTGATCCCTAATAACAGTCATTGAGAATTTAAATGACAAGAGAAGCAGCTTTAAATAGGAAGCAGCATAGTTAATCACAGCTGTCATACTTACACACTTGCTGACTATCAACTTTGAACAGAGCATTTAATGCAGATCCCATTTAAAGTGTACAGAGTCAAAGGAGAGGCCTATAACCATTTTCTAGTTTAGGAAGCACCCCACAACCCATGTGACAAAGATGACACTGAAGATCCAGTCTACTGCCATATAGACTGATTGTTCTGGTCCTATATCCCTCTTCCCCAATCATTGTACCAAATATACCTACAAAAAATCAAATTATAACCTTGGAATTTGATTTTGTAAAGATGGTCAATTCCTGTCTGTAAAATAAGCATTTTAAAGAAATATTCTATCCATTCAGAGCTTCCAGTGATTTGTACTTTTCTCTGTAAAAATGCATTTTCCTTTTAACCATTCTTTAATACCATTTATTTGCAATATTTTTGGTTACATTAGATCCCATTGTAGTTTTAAGAATATTATATGAAAATAAGTGCCAAACAAGCATACATTGACAGAGAACTTCCAGAGGTTCAAGCTGGATTTAGAAGATGCCATGGAAAGAGGGATATCATGGCTGATGTCTGATGGATCTTGGCTGAAAGCAGAGAATATCAGAAAGATGTTTACCAATGCTTTATTGACTATGCAAAGGCTTTCTATTGTGTGGATCATGACAAGCTATGGACAACATTGCAAAGTATGAGTATTCTGGAACACTTAATTGTGCTCATGAGGAATCTATACATGGACCAAGAGGCAGTTGTTTGAATAGAACATGGGAATACTGAATGGTTAAAATTAAGAAAGGTATGAGACAGGATTGAATTCTTTCACCATACTTCATCAACCTACATGCTGAGCAAATAATCTGAGAAGCTGGGTTATATGAAGAAAGACATGGCATCAGGATTGGAGGAAGACTCATTAACA